TTTTTTTTTTTTTTTTTTTTTTTTAATCTCACGATGGGATAGAGACAAGCTATGACCCTGGCCACTGCGGCAATCAGTCCTCCTACCCAACCAGTACTCAGGTCTCTCTACCAAGCACTCCTTAGTCCTCCTACTGACCCCCAAACCGACCCCTGTCCTCGTAGCACGAATGGCTTAGGCTTTCTGTTCCTTCATTATGAGTCAAGCTCTCCAGGACCCTAATCTTGGGCTCAAGGGTACATACCTAGATTAGTGGGGAAAGAGTCAAAGGAGAGGGGGATACGGAGGGAGACTGTGTATGTTCAGAAAGCATATTGAACCATATAATTTCATATGATGTGGGAAATAAAAATAATCATACCCACCAAACCATATATATATACACACACATAAATGTATATTTCTTTGTAAGTGGAGTCAAAACATTAGCTAGTGGGGAAAATGCCAAAGATGCAGATATTGGTGTTGCTGAATTACATAGATGTTAAGAGCTCAGGCTTTAAAATCATATCAATTCAAATCTTGACTTCACTTATTAACTTGGTTAAGATATTGAACCTCTCATCTGTAAATTGGGGATAAGAGTAGTACCTACTTTTTAGGGTTGCCAGGAGGGTTAAATTAGAAAATCCATGCACTAAAATACTGACATGTAACAGGAGATAAGCAATATTAGCTGGTCTTATTCTCAACAGGGGTTAAGCTGTAATGGAAGGTGAACGAAGGTTTTAGTTTAGTTTTTGTTTTTTGCTGTTTTATTTTTTAAAATCTAATCCAGGTCATGGGTTTTAAAAGACTGAGAAACACAACCACAAATTGTAAATGTTGGAGGGAACTGCAGAGACCATGTTAACTAACTTTTTTCACAGATGAGAAATTTAAGGCCCAAAGGGAAGTAATATCAGAATTAGTGAGTGACCTTTGGGCCAGCCCGTGGCTCACTCGGGAGAGTTCGGTGCTGATAACACCAAGGCCCCGGGTTCGGATCCCATATAGGGATGGCCGGTTAGCTCACTGGGTGAGCGTGGTGCTGACAACACCAAGTCAAGGGTTAAGATCCCCTTACCGGTCATCTTTAAAAAAAAAAAAAAAAAAAAAAAGAATTAGTGACCTTTGCCCATGGACCTGAACAGAGCTGAGCACCCAGGACACACACAGGAAAAGGAAAGGGTGGGAGAGACCTATACACTGGACACTGGATAGATTCCAAGATACCATTGCTGAGGGAAGGGTGGAGTTGGCATGTTGGCTTTAACCACACACATGGCCTTCTCACTGCCACCTCCAGTCCCTGTTGCCCTTATGGGACCCAAGTCCTATCCATTTTCCTTGGTGGTGGTGGGGTGTCCCATGCATTAAGATCTCCAGCACAGATGCATCCCCTAGCCTCTTGGTATTATTAGCGGCTTCCTGGTTTCTCCCTGCAATCTCTACACCTTATGCAGGAAGTGACATCAGAGCAGCAGGATGCAGGTGGCTCCGGAGAAACTTCATGAAGTCACTGGTTCCTACACAATAAACCGGAAGGCAAGGGCAGGGAAGGGGATAACAAGAACCATTTAAAATGTCTGGGGGGATTGGACAGTGGAACGGGCACAGAACCCAAGACACTATCCAAGAAGGGAGAACCCTCTTCTCTGCCCCCGCCCCCCCCGCAATTCTCCAGTAGGCAAGAACCTAGGACACAGCAGGCAGCACAGAGAGGCTTCTTTATTCCAAGGATCTGATCTTGCAAGATCTCACACCTCCACACCCAGGCACTCTCCACCTGCACATCCAGTCTGCTAAATGGAAATCATGTTTCTTTCTCACGTCTTTCCTCTGCTTTCCCTCTCTCCTTCTTCCATTCTGCAGTAGTGATAGAGAGAGGAGAAGAGTGTCTTTCTCACCAGTACCCAAGTGACAGCCATCAGTACTGACTTATCTTGAGGAAGTTCCACCCCACAAATTCAAAAGTGCTTCTTGCCCCCACCCCCCACCCCATGTCCCATAATCAGATAGGCCCCAGAGCAACAAGGGGCAGAACTACACACCAAGGCTTCAGAGTATCATCTAACATTCCAGACATTCCACCCAGCCAAAAAGCAACCCGATTCCTAACTTTCCTCCTATCTGGCCTACACCAGAAACTGCACCCCTCAACCAATCTCTTAATTCTATCTGGAAACTTGATCCACTAGAAGGGGCTTGGGCCCATCAGTCAGTCAATCTTTTAAATCTCTAATCCCAACAATAATCCTAATCCTAATCCTAATCCCAAACTACAGCAAACCCAGAATGGAACTCAGCCCCTTTTCTCTGCCTGTGGAAGGTTCTAGTGCATTCACCGGTTCCAAACAGGAATGCAGTGATGGGAATACGGGGTCACAGACCCAGCTTTTCTAAGGTAAGATAGTTACCAAGCACCTGTGACTTCTAGAGGCAAAGAAGTTTCTGGCATCTGGACACTTGCCAGAAGATATCCAAAAACCCACTAAAGGAAGAAGGGGCTCCTCTCAGGTAGACAGAACCCCAAGGAATATTCAAACCCAGATGCCTCTGAAGTAAAGAATGGGTCATGACTCTACCATCTAGTCAAGGTAAAGAGTTTTGTAATTCTCCCCTAGATCATAACATTTATGGAGACTGGGAGGAATCAGGAAAGGTCATATCATGTCTAATAAGGAATTTTAGATCTCTCCCCCATGGAGGGATCAACTCAGTGCTAAGAACAGGCTCCAGTGGGAGGATTATAGGCTCAACTCAAGCCCCTGGGTGGGCTCTACCATGATAGAGGGATAGAGTGGAACCAAACCCAGGTTTCCAGATTAATGGGACAATCTGGGATCTGGACCATCTTACAGGAAAGACTACCAGCCGCCAGTCAGAGTGATGCTGAATCCAGCCCCCACACCCACAGCCTCCAGGAGGCATTTATTACCTTCATTTCGTGCTCACCATAAAAGTTCCTATCACCACTGAAGAACAGAGAAAAGTCTATATCCAGTTCTAGCCTGCTAGAGAATCTTCAACATCCAGAATACCAGAGAGGGTTCCTGACCCATTTCCACCATCCCACGTGTTCCCAGAGCTACCCTAGAACAAATAAAGGTTCCAGACCTAGAATTGGAGGGGCAGGACACAAAGAACCCCTTTCTCGGGGCCGGCCCGTGGCTCACTCGGTAGAGTGCGGTGCTGATAACACCAAGGCCACGGGTTCGGATCCCATATAGGGATGGCCGGATGCTCACTGGGTGAGCGTGGTGCTGACAACACCAAGCCAAGGGTTAAGATCCCCTTCCCGGTCATCTTTTAAGAAAAAAAAAAAAAAAGAACCCCTTTCTCGGGGCCGGCCCGTGGCTCACTCGGTAGAGTGCGGTGCTGATAACACCAAGGCCACGGGTTCGGATCCCATATAGGGATGGCCGGATGCTCACTGGGTGAGCGTGGTGCTGACAACACCAAGCCAAGGGTTAAGATCCCCTTCCCGGTCATCTTTTAAGAAAAAAAAAAAAAAAGAACCCCTTTCTCGGGGCCGGCCCGTGGCTCACTCGGTAGAGTGCGGTGCTGATAACACCAAGGCCACGGGTTCGGATCCCATATAGGGATGGCCGGATGCTCACTGGGTGAGCGTGGTGCTGACAACACCAAGCCAAGGGTTAAGATCCCCTTACCGGTCATCTTTTAAAAAAAAAAAAAAAAAAAAGAACCCCTTTCTCCATTTTAAACCAACAAGCAAACAGGGAAAGAACAATTCTAAAGATAAAAGTTATGATAATAATAATATAAAGCACTGAAGCCAAAGGAGAGAGCCAAGTGCTAATAATCTCTGCCAGCAGAGATGTGACCTCACCTTCTGTATTTCAGGTCACTTTTGGTCACACATGTGGGAGAAGGAAGTGGAAGATGCAGTAGAATGAAGCCTCTGGTGCCACCCAAAGGCCACAATAAATTATATTTACAGATAAACTGGATGAGATGGGGGGGCCACAGGTGGAGGGCTGTTCCCTTAAGGAAATCAGGCATCCAGACTCTCCCCTCCCCCAGCCCCTAGCTAGCTCTCTCCTCAGAGACAATTTGTATTGTGGGGAAGAGGTTTTGACCAGCAAAACAGAGGCAGATCTAGCCAGGATCTGCCACCCCTGCTCTCCCCAGTGAGAAATTAAGGTGGCAGCAATTTCTCATGCCAGAGTGCCCAAGCCTGACAGGGAAACCAGCCTGAGACTGCGGCTTTCCTGGCCCCCAGGAAGCGAGTGGGGTCTGGACCCTTGCTCGGCTAGGGCCCCCCTAGAATGTGGTAGTGCACTTTGGTGTTGGTAGCAGCTCCGTGTTTCTGGCGCAGATGGAGCCGCAGTTGACTCTTGTGCCGGAAATGCAGGCCGCAGGGGTTGCACTGTGGGAGGACAGCCAGGTCAGGTCCCTCCCCACCCACAACCGCATTTTAGGCATCGAGGGAGGAGGAACTGTCCAACTCTCTGCCTAAAATTAGCTGTTTTGGGCCTCGCATCCTCCCAAATCCTCAGGGCTGCCCAGGAGACAGGCCCCGCCTTATTTAGCAAAGGTTTTCCCACCCGCTGGTACCTCTCCGGGAAAGTAGCGCCCAGTCCAGGGGCGTAACTTTTACATCTACCCCCCCCCCCGCCCCCTTCGCTCAGACTCTTTCAGGCCGCTGCCCATTTCCAAGAGATCTAGGAAGGGCAAGACCCTCTGCTCCCAGAGCTCCGCCCCCAGGTAAACGGGAGGTAATTTGTTTTCTTTCTTTTTTTGGCGGCTGGCCGGTGTGGGAATCCGAACCCTTGACCTTGGGGTTTATCAGCACCACGCTCTAACCGAGTGAGCCAACCAGCCAGCCCAGGGGAGTTAATTCTAAGGCTTTGGGCCGGGCCAGGCCAGGCCGGTACCCACATGGTAAGGCTTCTCTCCCGTGTGGATGCGAACGTGGCTCTTGAGGGTCTGTAGGTGGCGGAAGCGGGTCCCGCAGGTGGGGCAAGGATAGGGCTTCTCCCCGGTGTGGATCAGCACATGCGCGCGCAGATGCGCTACCTGGGAGGGGAGGAGACTTCAGAGCACGCCTTTGGGAGCGACAGAACCCTCTCTGATGGCCCGGCCCGCCCTCTTGCGAATTTCCCTTTGATTCGGATCGGAGCCTGGCTCCCCACCTGCACAAAGCGCGAGCCGCACGTCTCACACTTATAGGGCTTCTCTCCCGAATGGATGCGGCTGTGCGTTTTCAGGTTAGCCGGCCGGTTAAAACGGGCTCCGCAGATGGAGCAGTGGTAGGGCTTTTCCCCTGGAGGCAGGGAGAAAGGGAGGTAAGGGACTTTGCCCTAGGACAGCTGAGGGCGCGAAGACCAGGCCCTCTCCTCCCCTACCTGTGTGCACCGTGCGGTGACTGGCCAGGTTGCCTTTGTAGCGGAAAGCGGAGCGGCAGAGCTGGCACTTGTAGGGCTTGTCCTCATCCCCAGGAGCCAAGGGGTCCAGCCCCGATGAGCACCCAGCCACAGTCTCACAATTGTGGCAGCTGAAAAATTCACTTCCTGGGAAGGAGAGTGGGGAATGATAACCATAGTTACTTATTGCAGGTTTTCTAGGTACCAGTGAATCCTCAAACCACACAGTAGTAGGTTTTCTTTTTCCCAAGTTACTGTTATGGCTTCTGGGGCTCACTTGACATGCCCTATGCCACATGGTTAGAAAAAAGATGAGCCAAGATCTTACTCTACATCTGTCTGACTTCACTCTGCTAATTTCTTCCTCAATAGTGATGGTGGTAGGTGGAGGCCCCTGCTAGTGGGTGGAGGTTTCCATTTCTCTCTCTTCTCTTGCACCACTCTGAATGACAGCCTGCCAGAGAGGCCCTGAGAAGCCCTTGGCCGACCTCTCTGCCCTCCATGGCGATAGGCCAGAAATCCCAAATTTTGCTGCTCATTGGAAGCACCTGAGGAGCTTTAAAAAGTAGTGATGCCTGGTTCCCACTTCCAAACATTCTGATCTATGGGGTGTGACCTGGGCAATTGGAGTATTAAAGCTTCCCAGGTGATTCTAATTGGCAGTAAAGTTTAGGAACCATTGGACAGGTCTTTCCTGAGGTCTTTTGGCCCAACTGGTCTGGAGGAGTCATAGGAGAAAAGCCAGGAAAGAGGGACTCTTACCTGGAGGTGGATGAGCCCGCTCTGAGAAGGGTCTAGTGATCTCTTGAGCCCGGGGTGTGAGGAGATGGGGGGTATTGGTTGGAGCCCCATATTTGGCAGCAGTCAGAGAGACCCTAGACAGATGGCAAGGCCCAGACAAAAGGGTTAGAGATTATTTGGAGAGGGGTTCTCTCTGGGAGAACTTGGAGCCAAAGGCCTACCCTCTAGAGATTAGCCAGTATTGACCGAAGAGCCATATCCATTGTGCTGCCAAAGTCCCACCCTACTAAGTCAGTCTGCCGTCTGGCCAACTCCTGAAGGGGGGCTAGTGTTTCTGAAACCCACGTCCCATCTCCCTGCCTCCTGATCATACAGGCCCAATGGCACTACCTCCTAGCTGAGGCCAACCTCTACAAATTCTTGGGGTTTCGTATTCTGTACCTGCTCTGGGGACCAGGAATGGGTCCTTCTTCACTACTGCTGCTGCTGCTGCTGCTGCTGCTGGAGGCCTCATCTCCACTGGAGAGCCTAGCTTGGGGGCAAGGTTGACCAGAACTCGTCTCCCCCACCAGTTTCCCTGCTTGGGAGGCCTGAGAGTTTAGCACGATGAACTTGTACTTTTTCCAGTTGCAGGCCTTGGGGTCTGGGCTGGCCGGACTAGGGGGGCCTTGACTGCAGCTTCGAGACTCAGTAGGTGGGTCTGGGTGCCCTTCGGAGCACCTGGGACTGCCCGGTGGAGGAGCTGTTGGAGGTGTGGGGGGTTCTGCTTCCAGGGGCCGTAGAGAGATGCCCAGAGGTTCGTAGCTGGGGAAAGTGTAATGGACATTAGTGCTATTTCCAGGATCTTTGCCTTTGCCGTTGACACCTGGGGCGCCATCTCACCCCCAGAGAACACCGAGCTGGGGCTCCCTCACCTTGCCTGGATGAAGCGGTGGCATGCCTGGACCACGTGTTCCATCTGCAAGTAGGTGGCAGCCGCAAGGACAGCTGGTGCAGTGGCCGGAGAGAGGCGCAGGCGTGAAGTGTACATGAAGTCCAGAAGAGGAGCGAAGCCTCCTGCTTCGGGGCCCCCGGGCAGGGAGAGGACGTCCACCCCTACTCCCGCACGGCCCCGGAAAATTGAATAGAAGAAGCCACTGGAGAGAGGGCAGATAGGTCATTTGGGGGGCTGGGTACAAGGGAGACGTGAGCCGCTTTAGAAAGCACCGCCCCCAATTCTGGGATGCTCAGCCTCATGCTTCTGGAAGGCTCGCTTTGGATTCCCTCTCAGTGGCCTTATGGCTCCGTTCCGTTCCCATCTGGTCCCGTCCCACCCTACTGGCCCCAGCCCTCGAACCTGCAGGCGATAAGAACTGCCTTGTGTGCTCTGAGGGGTTGCCCGCCAACCAGCAGCGTGACGTCAGTGAGGATCCCGCGCAGGCGCAGCTCATTCAGGTTGCCCAGCACGTCGGAGGAGTGGCGCGTGAACTCGCGGACGTAGCCCAGCGCTCCCTCTGGGCCAGCGGCGGAACCCATCGCGGCGCCGGCCTGCGGGTGTCGTGGACAGGGCCCCTCTCAGGGATCCAGGCACCCGGCACGCGCAGCCTCACTTAAAGCCATCTTGTTCATTCTGCCTTCACCCATCGCTCTTTTCCCTCCTCTAGATCCCACGGCGCTTGCAGCGAGGTGAAGGCTCCCACGCCACTGTCGATGGCGAGCGTGGGGTATCCGGCGCGCAGTGCCCTCAGCTGGGTGCCTAGTGCCCCTGCAGCACGGGCAGGCCCCTCCGCTTCGCCGCGCACATGAGTCTCACCCTGCCCAGAGACCCCACACGGCCTGCGGTCCACACCCCCACATCCCTGTCGAAGCTCCCTGCTCTTCCCTTGTCCCCGGTCCCTAGTCTAGCCCTATTTCTGGGATTCATCCTCGCTACCATCAGCAAGCCCCAACCCTCTTGGGGTATCCAGGAGTCTGGCTCCCTGTGTCTCGTTCTTACCCCCGTCCTGCAGGGGCTGCGGCTTCTCTTCTCGGGGGGGCGGGGTCTCTCTTCCCTCTTGGCCTCTGCTCCTTTATCTGGCCGGGATGTCGGGGGCGGGGGTGGAGGTGGGGTGAACGCCTGGGTCTGTATCCTTCCTTCCTCCCTAACTCTCCAGATGGCGAGCCCGGGGCGGGGTCTTGGTCTCGAGGGCGGGACCTCAGAAACACGGGGTGTGGTCGTAACGGAGGGGGCTGGGGTCACTGAAAGTGGAGCCAAGGATGGGGATAGGGGAATTGGGGAGGAGGTTAGGGATATCGAGATTGGAAATGTGGGAGACCTGAGTCGTCGGAGGGCCCGGGACAGCGACAACTGGTGTGTTGGCTCTAGGAGGAAGGTGCCCGGAGCCTGCTGCAGGAGAAAGTGAATACAGCTAAACGCCCCTGTGTTAGGGGACAGAAGGGGGGGCGCTCAACGAGGCGCCAGGTTCGGGCAGGGGACAGCGGGCTCCCTTGGGGTCTCCGACAGCGGGAGGGTGCAGTGTGAATGACAGGTTCCTCTAGCGGGGCCTACAAAAAGGGGGGCTCTGACCGGGAGGGGTAGGGAGAGGGCGGATATGATTTCGAGTTCGTTTCCTTCCATTGTCCTGCGACCGGACGGCTCCGCCAGCTGCTTCCCCTCGAGGAGGTGGGGAAAGCCCCGGGTGGGGGCCGAGAGACGCCCGGAGTCCTAGGTGTCCGGTCTTTCGCTCTCGACTCTCTTCTGAATCCTTTTAGGGATCCAGAGAGACGGACTCCCGCCCAAAGCCCGCTCGCTCTCCCCCAATCCCAGCTCACGAGGGCCTCGGGCACCCGCCCGTCGGCCCCGCTTTGAGGCTGGCGGGACGCCGGGGTCCAGCGCGGCAAGTAGGCAAAGCTCGGCAATGCTCGGCTCCTTCCACGAGGGGGCGGACGAGCACTAGCCTCGCCTGGGCCGGTCGTCTCCACCCGGCTGGGGGTGCGCTCGGACCGGGCGCAGGATCGATTCGGTCTGGGCGGCTGAAACCTTTGGCCTCCTCCCATTTGCTCTGGTTTATTTTGCAGCTCCGTCTCCTAGGAGGGGACTAGGGTTGGACGGAGGGAGGTAGAGTTAGGGGAGCGAGGGGACTTTCCCTCAGGCTGGGGTTCCTACCTGAGGTGAGAAATCCGCGGGCTTTGGGAGCGAGGGGAGTGGGGGGCGGGGGCACAAGGAGCCGGCCCGAGCCTGGGAGCACACGGGGTTCTGTTCTCATTAAGCTGGACACTATTATCCAGATGTCTTTTGAGGTGAATTTTTAGTGGGCGTTAATATGAGAGTTGGGTGGGGTAAACTGAGAGAAGGGAAAACAGGGAGGAGGGAGAGAGGGCAGGAGGGGTCTGACAAGCCTCATTTTAAGTCCCTGAACTGACAGGCAGAGATGGGTCACACCCGCATATTTTGTTTGGGGAGAACTTGGCTGGGGGGGGGGTCGGATGGGGGGCGCAGAGCTGAGTCCAGCTGCAAAGCAGGAGCTCCTCGGATTTGGGCTCAGGACACAGTTGCCAGGAATGACTGACCGTGGACTGTCCATGGAGCTGCATATCCAGGCCTGGGGCCCTCCCCTTCCGATTCGAGTGTGTCTTTATTTGAGTGCACAAAAGAACAGCTGAGAAGCTGGGAATTGGGGACCACTAAGGATTCAGGATGGTGAAGTGGCTTTGGCATGTGAGGGTGACTTTGGTCTCTGCCCAGTTCGGAGGTGGGAATTAGACTAGGGACTCCCTTTGGTGTCAGGATGGAGTGTGATCTGTTGTGGGGTGCCTATATGATATGGGGTGTTGATTTGATTCAATCGGATGGGCACTGGGCGCTGCATTCAGCCTCGAGGGCCTATGGTAAGTTTGAGGCATGGCGCTGATTTTGAAGCTATATTAGTTCTGGGGGTTCCAACACCGTAACTGGAGATTGCACCTCTCTCTGTCATTTTGGACTATCAGGAGAGGCAGAGTGTTCATGCTGATTTTGGGGTGTGGCCTGTTTTGGGGTGCCATATAAATTTTGAGGTTTAGATTAGATTGTTGGAGACATGAAATTCAACTTGGAGTTATTTTAAAATTATTTTGAGGTGGAATATAATGAGAAGCTGGGAGCAGGTTTGAAGGCTTTCTGTGATTGGGGGTACCAGGAGCTGGGGAGCAAAGTTTTATATTTGAATTATTTGGAAACACTTTGAGAGAGGGATATTCCTGTGTATGCATGCATAGCCATGAAGCTTTTTCCGGGGGGAGAAACATGGTGAGGGCCCCAGGGTATGGGACTAAAGTTTTGGGGTGTCTTTATTTTGGGGTATCTTATCATTCTTTTGGGTGCATTTGGTGAAGCTAAGGGATGGATCATAATATGAGATTGATTAGGGGTACATTTAATTTGGAGCATGATTCTGGTTTGGGGTGTCTTTTGCTTTTAACTCTCTCACCCAAGATTCAAGAAATTTCTTTAGTGAACCCCCAAATAAGCCCAGGATTTGAAGGGAGAAATTTGGAAAGGGCATGGTGTCTCCTCTTATAACTATGTGGCCTGGATAGACCTGAGGGAGAAAAGGTGGTTTCAGACTCTGAACCCCAGTTTCTCAAGGGAGCACACCTTAGTCTGGAGGAAGGTGAAAGAAAATGGGGTGTCTCTTGGTAAAGTGGACACCCCTACCAGGGCAGTACTGTTGGAACTGTGGTGAGGAGAGGTGGTGGTGGGTGAGGTATAAGGAGGTAAATTCTTGTACCCTGATTTTCTAGGATAAGAGCCCCAAACAGAAAGCAGACAGAGGACTGGGAGTGTGGGTGAGATGAGGGGGGGAGGGGTTCCCAACGGCAGCAGGGGCTAGAGGGTAAGCCAGGCCAGCTCTTCACGCCTGGGTCCCTGCTCTCTTCGGCTCTCCTCCCCTCTCTCCCTCCCACCGCCCACCCCCCCAACCCAAGGAAAAAAAGCTGCCTGTGCAACAGCAATGGCAGATTCCAATCCTCCAGGCTTTCCTAAACCACCACCGAGACCAGCCAGGGGGGAGGGGTGGGGAGGATCGGGCTTTCCTGCTCCCTTAAGACAGGGGCAATGAGCTTGACCTCCTGGCCCCTCGCCCTTTGAGGAGTGCCCCCCGGTCTGGAAGCCAGGTGTCCTGGACCCTAGCCCCCGAGCGGGGGGGCCTGGAGAGACGGGGAGGAGGAAGGAGGGAGTGACTTCCAAAATTGGCATCGGGACAGAGCAGGGCTGGCGGGAGGCAGGCGAAAGATGGAATTTTCCTGAAAAAACGGGGGTATCTGAGGACCCCAAATTTGGGGATCTAGTCCAGGACCGTCCTCCCAACATCCTAGATTTTTTTGGGATTTTTTGAGGGCCCCGGGACCCCTCTAGATGGGGTGAGGAATGTAGTGTTGGGGGAATCTGACTGGGGCATTGCAGCTGCCTCTCCCGCCGAGTTGGAGACGGATGGGCTGGGACGTGTTTTGGGGGGGTGTCCCCAATTCTGACTGGGAGTGGAGGAACCCCCTCCTGAGCTCTCTTGTGGGGGTCCCCCCTCCCCAAGGCACTCCCCAGTCCCTGAGCCAGCCGAAAGGAAGGAGGCCAGCGATGCGACTGGGGCAGCTCCTTTCTCCTGCACCCCAAATGTGAGGGATGCACCCCAAATTTTGCTCCTTTCAAAATAGGGAACCAGGATCTCAGGGGAGAGTAGCTGAGGTAAGTGGGGAGGAAAGTGTCCCCTGTTTTCAGGAGAGACGTGGCGGTTGGGGGGGAGGTTTGGAGGTGCGTGTTGGGGTGGGGTTGGGCTTTGTCAGTCTTGGAATTGGGGGGATGGTTGGAGAGGCTTTCTCTTATACCCCTAAACTTCAGACCCCCAGATGGAAACCAAAGGCTGAGATCAGAGAGCCCCCCAACATCCCCAGCCATTAGGGTAGTGTTTGATTTCTCTTTCACCCCCACAAAGGCTCTGCCGAGGGTGGGAGCTGGGGGCAGTTGTGCAGTTTGGGGGCTAGGGAGGGTGGTGTGAGGAGCAGGAGGCCTTGGCAGAGTTTGATGTAGGACAGATAGGGGTTTGGGGAAGGGGAATGGCATCCTGGGGGCCTTAAAATATTGCTTATGTACACCACCTTAGATCTTTTTGATTGCTAAGAGTTTTGGGGGTGTGTCGGGAGGGGGGGCGGTAAAAGGTGGGATAGGATATGGGAAGATAACTTTTGGGTTTTAGAAGATATTATTTTGATTTGCAGAAGGGATTTTGGCCCTTGGATTTTGCTTTCTAAGGGGTGCTTTTTAAAAATCAAGTCCTGGAGAGGAGAAAAAGGCTGAGGAAAGGCCTAGGGTGGGGGGTGGGGAGAAGCATGTTTGTCTCAGTTAAACGTGGCTCTCTGGGGTGGGCCTGCCTGCCTGGGCCTTGTGGCTGAGCTGATGGAGGTTGTTGTGGGGTGGGGCTCAGGTCCTGGGGGGCCATGGGGAGTGGAAACAATGCTGGGGGTTGAATACCTGGACCCCGGGTCCAGATGGCCCTCTTCCTGGGCCCTGCTGCTCCCTTTCCCCCTGGCCTCCATTTCCTGCCTTTGGCCTCCATCTTGTGGCAGGCCCAGGGCCCAGGGCGACTTCCGGCCCCCCTCTCCCAACCGTGTTCCGGCCCCACCACCTCTGGACTGCCAACTCCCAACCCTGCTGTCCTTGGCCCTCTGTCTCTTCTTGCTTTTCTCTTGGGTTCTGACCTAGGGAGGGGAAGAACGGACACAGGAAGCCTCGGGTCCCTGCTCTTGCTGAGTCAGGAGGCAGTTTGTTGGTCCCCTCCAGTCATTCCCTATTTCCTCCACCTCTGACCCTACCCTAGGGCTCCTCTGAGCTGAGTTCCTACAGAGGGAAGATGGCTCCAATCTTACTACACTGAACTCATTCCCTAGGTCCCTCTCTCTTCCCACTTGCCTGCTCAACTCCTATCCTTGGTTCCTGGTTTTCCCCAACCTTTTTGGGGGCCAAGTTTGCCTTTAAGCCTTCTCTATCTCCCTGCTCTTGGTGGTGATGGTGGGGGTCTTCACAGCACTGTCTTGTGCTCTTGCTCTCAACCCACCCCAGTCCTGCTCCCGCCCCAGCAGCACACTGTGGTTTGTACGGCACTGTGGCCACGTCCAAACCACACTGTGGTGTTAGAGCGAGGGTGGGGGAGGCACCGCTGAGGCTTGACCCTGGGAGGCCATCCCGGAGAAGTGACACAAAAGACATCTGGGGCCTTGTGATGAGCTTCTTGCGAGGTGGTGGAAGAAGGTGGAGGGATGAAAGCACGGAAACAGCCCTTCCAAAATCCCCAGGGTAGGCTCAGGAATACTGACTGCCAGAGACCCTGGGAGTAAGTTCTGCCTCCAGAGAGCAAAGTGGAGTCTTTGTTGCCCACACCCAGCTCCCCTGGCTCTAGCAGCACAGAAATATTGGCACCGGGAAGCGAGTCTGCCAATATTGGCTGTGCTGCTCCAGGCAGGGTGGCGAGAGCTACAAGGAGGGGCTGAGCCCCTGATGGCTAAGCAGAGAAGAGGGAACAGCCCTCTCCTGTTAATAATGTTAAGGTGACGGCACCAAACTGAGAGGGAAATCTTTATTGAGTTCTGTATAAAAATGTACATCAGATAGAGGTCAAAAGGGTGGGGGCTGATGCTTATACCGGAACATCAAGGTGGACAGCCCCAGCAGCCTTCTGATCCTCTCAGGCCTTGCTCAGAGTCCCAGGCGATCCACAGGTCCAGGGTGAAGCGAGAGGTCAGAGGTGGAAGGCTCAGCAGGAGAGTAGAGGAGGCTCAGCGGGAGAGTAGAGGAGGATCAGCAGAGGTCATGAGAAGGCCAGAATCCAGGGTCAGGCTGTCTGGAACAGAAAGTAAATTGGCCGAGATGGAGCGAGCCCCAAATATACTTTCAAGACAACTCCCACTTCCCCCAAATATCCTGCTACTGACAGACCCAATTCCCCGCCCTGTGTACAAGAGTCCCTTCTCTTCCAAAGTCCCTGTACAGGGGAGGGGCTCCTGCTGAGACCCTCCCCTACCACTGAGGTGAGCACTTCCTCCCCCACCCCTTCAGTTGGTGTGGGAGGAGGAGGACTCCTACCCTGGTCGAAGTTGAGTTTCTTGGCTGAAGGAGTTTCTCCTAGCCCTTCAATATCCACCAGGTCACTGTTGGCATCCGAGTCATTCAGAGCACTGAGTGTCACATCTGGTAGGGGGGCATAAGCTAGGTTCTAGGTTCCCCTGACTGCCCCTCCACCTCCCCCAGCTTCACAAAGCTTCATGCTCCTCCCTCCCCTTCTCTGGAAACCTCCACAGGGAGAGGAAGAGATTTCTCCTTCCTTGACCCAGGCCCAATTTTCTCACTGAACCTCAGATGGGACCTTTAATCCCCAGGCAGCGACTCCACAGCCCTCACCAGCCTTCTGTTTCTTTATGGGGGTGCCCCCAGCCTCAGGGACACTGGAGCTGCTGGTTGGAGGGGCAGCTGGAGGAGGCGACAAGACACCAGATGCCACCTTCTTGGGCCCTTTCTTGGGGGACTCAGCTGGAAGGGGGATGCCAGAGTCTTCATATACCTTGCGTTTCACAGTGGCCTTTATCTGAGCCCTGAGGAAAAGAGAGCAGGTTAGGAAAAGAGTCAACAGAGAAGCTGAGGGAAGAGGCCGGGGGAGGGGAGAGGTGGGGGGGACGGAGTGGGAGTTATGGGCAACTCTGAAGGAATTCTGGGACCCCCTTCATAAGAACCCAGGACAGGGCTCCAACCCATTAGTAAAGTTCTCATTTTCCTGCAGCTTTGCATTCAGGGTGGATGGTGTGTGAAGAGTGGACTCCCTGAACTAAGTAGTGGGAAAGGCCTATCCCCTAATTTTCTTCTGGGAGAGATGTATGGATGTGGAAGGCCATCAGGTAAGGCTTGGTAACTTATAGGTAGATTGAGATTTATTAGTAGATCCTGATCAACTAGTTCAGAATCACAGTATCCCTAAAACACTGCAGTAGAGTCTCAAAAGATCTATAAAAGTAACCAGGGAACTCCCATTAACAAATACAATAATTGAGTATCTCAGGCAACCTAAAATCAAATTCTTGGAAGATCCTGATTACCACAGCATTTTAGGAACTTCTGACCAACTGTGACAATTCTTATATTCCTTCAGTCCTCAAGGGGATGCTAACAAAACTGGCAACAAAGTAGGAAAGATGTTGAACTGGGAGTTCTGAGGAAGATGGAACAATGGGTAAGGAGGAAAACAGCTGCCCACCCCCCTTTCTCTGCCAGCCACCCTCCCTCACACTGTCCGTTCCTTGATGACACAGCTGATGTGATTAAGATCGTCCCCAAATCGCTTCACAGCAGCCCTCAGCATCTCTATCTCCGTCTCCGTCCACTTCGCACTGTCAGAAGGGGAGAGGGGTGATAGCAAAAATGGGAGGAGGGGTGTGGAGTCAGCCCACAGGTTATGCATTCCACAGCCAACCAACCGCCTCCTCCCAACCTACGGAGCCCCTTCCACGGATCCAAAAAGAGGTCTTCCTTTAAAAAACAAAAACCTCTTAAGGCTCCGCGAACCCTGAGGACCCCCAACCACGTGCAGTTGCAACCACTACCACCTTAGAGCACTTCTCTCCCCCATCAACGTGAACGTTGCTGTAAACAGCTCACTGAAACCTATTCAACAAGTGGGGGCCTTGCAAACAGAAGCCCTGAACACAGTCTGCAGCAGTGAGGGAATGCCAGTGAGCTGGGGCGGATGCTGGTGGCGGTCTGCTGGCTCGCAGCAGGGTAGAACGGCGAGATACGAGTCCGGGTTACGGGCCTCGGTCTGTATTTTCATCTGCCATTCATTCGCTCACTCAACAATCATTCATTCCACCCCTACTCTGCGCTGTGCCAGGCACAAAGAGAAACTAACATCCGTCCCTGCCCTAGAGAGGGTCCGTGTCTGTGACTGAGTCCAAGCGTCCGCTCTCAGCGTCCACATCGCAGCCCGGGCTCACGTACCCCGCGGGGGAAGAGTCGGCCACGGGATGCAGCTGCATCGTCAGCTCCCCGAGCTTCGTGAAGGCGGCGCCAGCCGCGGAAAAGATCTCTCCGACCTGGGGGCGGCGCAGCGTTACGGGGGGCCGGCGCGCGCCCTCCCGCCCGGAGCCCCACGCCCCACCCCCGGCTCGGCCATACGAAGTTATTACGCGTCCGGAGCGGAAGAGCCGAGAGTTAAGCGGGGGGCCCGCGCTGCCGTGTCCGCGAGGGAGCGCTGTCCGCGAAGGAGGTCGAACCTTTGTGGACGCTGACGTCATGGCTCCACGCTCCTCACGGAGACGGTGCCGCCGCCGCAGCTACCACACGAGCCGGGACCAAAGAGCCTGACGACCGAACTGCTCCGAGCCCCGCGCAGGAAGTCCCGCCCTCCCCGCAGCTGATTGGCTCCCACCCTGCCGCTCCCCGCCCCACCTCCCGCAGTCCCTCAGGCCTCCTCGGCGCGCCAAGGAAGGGAAGACACCGCCTCACTTCCGGGCCGCTTCACTCCACTTCCGTCGAGGGGCCAGGCTTCCTGACTCCCAGGCCGACCTCGGGCTTTACCCCGTCCCCGCTCCGCCACCCAAGCACAGACACAGGCTTACGAGAGCAGTTTCTCTTTATTGTGGTACGAGACGTAGGCGAGGCGGCTGCAGAGACAAGGAACGGCCAGCCCCTGCCCCCCTCCAACTGGGGCCGAACGCCAGAGATTGGAGGGCAAGGGATTGGGTCTCGCCAGGGAAACCCAGTCCCGCGGAGGGCGCCAGAAGGGGTGGGACGCGACCTGGGGAGGGGCTGGGGAGAGTCTTTAAATAGAGGAGGGGTGCGGGACAGGGAAAGGGACCGTGTCCTAGCGCACCATGTATTCCTTGCGCTTATTGAGCCGAAGTTGGCAGAAGGAGAAGCCTCCGAGGAGGAGGTAAAGGCCGGCCGCGATGAAACAGTTGTAGCTGACTTGCTCATAAAGGTTGTATATGCTCTGGGGACCGTTCCTGGGGGTGGGGATTAGGCAGAGAAGTGTCAATGGCAGCCGTCATTGACTGATCACTTACTAAGTGCCAGGCACTACTTTAAGCACTTTTACTTATAGTATTCAGTTTTCTTGACCACCGTATGGGGTGAATTACAGTACCCGTTTTGCAGCGGTGGACTGAGGCACAGAGAAGTAAAATACCTAAAGGGGCCACACCTAAAGCGGCGGGATTAGGATAGCCACTGAGGTCTTACTCCCAAGACTGCTCCTAAATACATTCTAAAGACAGCAGCTCTCCTCTCCCACTACCCTAACCTCGGGGCCCCAACTATCCAGCCTCCTAAACGTAATTCTGGCCATAGGCCCAGCCACCTCTCACCTACCTACCCACCTACCCCGCCTCCCCCACCGAAAGATACTTACTCGAAATCTTTCTCCGTGAAAGGAACATCCTCAATTAACACAGCGGAATGGACATTGAAAAATATTCCAAGCATTATCTAAAATAATGGAAGGGTAGGTTGTTGAATTCAGGCACCTGACCTCCTGGTCACTCCTTAAACCCTTTCCATTTCTAGTGTTGCCACAACAGCCGGGCATTCTGAGATTAACCAGAAAGAGCTAGGACTAGGGTTGTTGCTGATAGATTCGGACTCCGCCTCCTGGAATAGAACATGAGGTGGTGACATTGACAAGGGGCTGGGGCGAGGGCACGAATAGTGAGCAACCCGTCTTTCCCAGGAACCCAGATTGTCCTCTCCAGAGGCGTCATTATCATGGGACAAGGCGGAAGAAGTAAGGGAGAACCTGCACTTCATATTATTTCTTCTTGAAGTGGGGGCGGGCAGTGTGCTGGGGAAAAAAGTCCCAGCTCCCCATTTCAGGAACAAGCACTCCCTCTCCCTGCTATCCTCCGTTCAAATCAAGTATCTCTCAGGAACCCACCTCTTCTTTTTCTTAACTTGAAGGCTTTCCGGATTTACCAGTACCGGCTCCCATTCAAGGCTCCAGCCCCAGCCCCCTCTCTCCAGTTCCTCATTTTTCAATCTCAGTTCTGTCTCGTTCTCCAGGGCCCAGTTAATCAAACGACCCCTCCGGCCTGCCTGCTGCTTTCTCAGGCCTGGAGTTACCTAGCTTCCCAACCTTCCAACCCCGGGCCCCTCAGGCCCTCTCCGATTCTCGCCGGGTAGTCCCCTCACCAACATGATCACTCCCCAGGCGCTGAGGACTATGCCGCAGGCAGCCAGCTTCGGCCCACAGCACAGGAGCGACGCCATGAAGAAAGGTGTCGGGTATCACCCAACTATGAGCCAGGTGGGAAGGCGGTGAGGAAGTCCTGGATGCTGCCGGGGCCTGCGAGCTGGACTTGGGGGCTGTCGCGGAGGATTGTGGCGGGGAGAGAAGGGGGCGTGGCCTCCGGCTGCAACCATCGGGCCGGGGGACGGCAGGTGGAGAACGCTGGGCTCCTCGGGTCCTCTCCGGACTTGGGCGGGAGATGGCGGGGTCTGAAACCGAAGCAGCCCTCCGGAAGCCCTTCTCGACCTCTGTAGCTGGGGCGTGAATATTGGAAGAGCGAGGGCCTCTGGTTTCTTGGTTGCCCCCTCTATAGGTTGGAATGGAAGGAGCTTGCAGGCCACGTGACCAAGGCAAGTCACGTGACAAGGAAGTAGCAGTAACCAGGCCTGTGGGAAAAGTCTAGCTCTGGTGGAGCTCCTGGTAACTTGGGCGATGGGCTTGGATCGGACGATTGGAACCATCTGACCTTTCCCTCAGATGGGAGGTATCCTGTGATAGGAAGTGGTAAGTGGGAGAGCTAGCGCTTCTCTTTTCTACTCACCCCTCCCTTTAAAAATAGATATTCTGACACAGTGAAAGGAGGTAGGGGCCCCTTCCTGAGGCCGAGCGTACTGTTGTGGCTAGAACTCTTTAAGATTGCTGAGTGTTCTTGGCACTGGAAATGCTTTTCTCTTAAGTAACATTTTTTTTTTTTTTTTAAAGATGACCGGTAAGGGGATCTTAACTCTTGACTTGGTATTGTCAGCACCACGCTTAACTAACATTTTAATCATCACACTTGGAATACTGTATAGTTCTGGATGCAAAATCCAGGGAAAATATGGGGTTAGGAAAAGTCCAGGGAAAGCAAACTCGATGAGCAAGTAGTGAAGGGGAGAAGTCCTGCTAAATGTCCTGGAGAAAGGAGTAAGTACACAGAAATGTCACTTTGCTTTCATACAGCAAACTAAGGAAACTGATTATAGCCTTTGAATAAGGTAGGATACAAGGTTGAAAAATATGAATAGATTATCCCCTCCACACATGTACAAAAAAGTGTATATACTTCACTGGTGTGAGACAGATTTGTAATAATTATTCAGGGAAATAGGTATGTTTGAAGAACTGAGCTTGTTTTACCCATTCTAGGGAGGACAGCATAATTTTGAGGGATCATTTTGATTTTGAGCCCCAGAACTAAACAAAGAAACACTGTCGTTGGCTAGAATAACTTGGTGGTATTTTTCCATTCATTTTGTGCATATTGTTCTTAAAAGGGTTGTGAGAGAGGAGCCTGGGAAACAGAGATCCCAGGATATTAAAGGGGCTGGAAAACTGGCCTTGAAACATGAATTTTATATCTCTTTTTGTTTGGGACTGTCTAGGGAAGGAAGCTATTTTGGGGCAAAGGTTTTTATTCTGCCCTAGGAATATCATTCTTATTCAGGGGCTTTTGGGGTACATATGTGAATAAGAGGAATAGGTGTGGAGGGAAAATTGCCAAGGAAGGGAGTCAGGAATTTGTAAGTTGGCCACCAAGCTTCAAGTCTAGTTCCTGGGAAAGGAGAATTAGCTGAGGTAGTTGATTTCTACTAGAAATCTCCCTGCGCCCCCTCTCCCATCATGCTCTTGGATGTTTTGGAAGTAGGGTCAGGATCTCAGGCTAGTGCAGGGGACAAGAGCCAAATCCAGCCTGTAGCCTGCACACATCCCTCAAATAATGCTTTTTTTTTTTTTGGAGGCTGGCCAGTACAGGGATTCAACCCTGGACCTTGGTTTTATCAGCACCGTGCTCCAACCAACTAAACTATCCAGCCAGCTCTTTTATTTGCATTTCTAAATGATTGAATAAACCAAAATAATAATAATATTTTGTGACAGATGAAGTTGTCCGTAAATAAAGTTTTATTGGACCCAGTCACATTCATCCATTTACATATGACGGAGACTGTGTGGCCTACAAAGCCTAAAATATTATCTGGCCCTTTAGAGAACAACTACTGCACCCTGGGCTAGTGGGATACTGATGTAGGGGGTTTAGTTTGGGGAGGAAATATAGCCTTAGCAACAAAGACTGTGGAAAGCATGAAATTAAGATGGAAATGTCAGTCCTAAAGCTGATGTGAACTCTCCCATCAGCTAAAGGCTCAGATAGTGATACTGTTCTCTATGCAGCTGGGCTTCAGGTAGTCATAGGGCAGGTCAAGTTGCTCATTCCGGGCTGTAATCTCCTTATCCAAGTTTTCCAAATCTGTTTGGAATTGGCTTAGCACAGCTTTGACCTTGGGGCCTGAGAAATATTTTTCTTTGTGATGCCCCAGAGGCACCTGAGATAGAACAAAGGATCCGTCAATTTCTAGTCTGAAGACAGAAACACCTACAGCCCAGCCCCTCACTCTGATGTTTCTTTTCCAACTGTCTTTTCCCTCCCCCTATAGTCCCCTCTTACCATGTCTGGCTGGCGGCGACCCAGGAACCATGTGGTGGCCATTTGAAGACAAGCCTGCTGGACATCAGGTAGTGACCCCATCACTGTGGCCATTGTCACATCTTCCTTGGTGGTGGGTGGGGGCATCCGCATTGTGCATGGGGCATTAGGGACCCAGGCATACCAGTCCAGCTGGGGGAAGAAACTGCAAACCTAGGACCTGATACTTAGGGTTTGAACCCTCATCTCTCCCTTGGGTCTCCCAAGGTCCAGGCACTTCCCTTCAGGGACCTGGGCTCTCAGCTTCCATACCTGGCCCTGGTTGATGGCCCCATGCTGGGCAGTGCATGTGAAGACACACATGGTAAGGAAATGGCAGAGTTGAGCCTTGGACTGGAAGGAGACAGGGAAACCTAGGCAGGAAAGGAACACAGTTCATAGGCTACAGAATAAGAGGAGAAAAATAAAGCCCGATGTCTTAGAATGTCCATATTTTATAATTGATGGGTGTTTGTTTATTTGTTCATTTACTTAGATGTACTTACATCAGACATGGGTTTCAATTCTGGCTCAGTTGCTTACAGCTTTGTTACCATAGGCCAATTACTTAACCTCTCTCAACCTCAATTTTTTCACCTGTAAAATGTGGGTGATACTTATAACTGTATCAAAATCACGTAGTATGCCATAAGTGCTCAATACATAATAATTATTGTTATTATGGAACGATTGGGGGTTGAGATGGTTTAGTGGTTAAGATGCTTCCTCCTATTCCCAGACAGGGAATTACACGTCTCTGAGTTATAAGGTGGGGAACAAGAGTAGTCATGGATTTCCAGTGTCACTGTTAAGAGGGGACTCCCACAAGGATTATTTTAGGACACTCATCATTTTACAGTGGATGTGGGGGATCAGAGACCCAATAATCCTACCAGTTAAATGGATCAAATGTAATTACTCCCATTTTATAGATAAGAAAATCAAAGACCAGAGAGATTTAACTGCTTGTCAGGATTGCACATTTGGAAAAAGGCAGCAGCTGACCTTGAACTTCGGTTCCTGACTGCTAATCCCATGCTGTTTTTTAATTTTAGTACACTTCCTTTAAAAAGCCTGTTGGGAAAATTAGGCAAAGGTGAGCTATGAGAACTGAGGGAGAATAAGGGGGAGGGGAGAGTGAAAGGCAATTAGTGGAGGTTAAAGTTAACATGTGTGTTATGGACTAAATGTTTATGTCCCCCCAAAATTCATATGGTGAAATCTAATCCCCAGTGTGATCATATTTGGAGATGGAGCCTCTGGGAGGTAATTAGATCATGAGGGTGGAGCCCTCATGAATGGTATTAGCGCCCTTATAAAAAGAGGCCAGAAAGCTAGCTAGCTCTCTTTCTGCCACATGAGGATAAAAGAAAAAGTCAGCTGTCTGCAACCTGGAAGATGCCCCTCACCAGAACTTGATCAGACTGGCAGCCTAATCTCAACTTCCAGCCTCCAGAACTGAGAAATAAATTTCTGTTGTTTGTAAGCCACCCAGTCTAATTTGTTAGAGCAGCCCAAACTGACTAAGACAATGTTAATGTTTGCTTTTAATTTCTAACCATAGATACCGATTGGGGAGAAGATGGCCAGGGAGAGGAAGAAGGGACAGTACTTTTGGGACATGTGGAGCCTAAGGGACAGTACTGAGAAGTACTAGAGAGAGTTTGGGCCTGGAAGGGTGGGAGTGGTGTACCTACAGAATCCCGAGGAGAGGCTCCCTCCAGGGTGCAGGTGTTTGCTGCACCCCCAGGGCCCATCCATATGACTCCCTAGTAAATGTCCGTAGTTCCACAGACGCACAGGAAGGGATTCAAGGTGTTGGTCTGAGGTGTGGGGAGCAGAGGCTGAAGGATGATTCAAAGCAGTCTAGGCTGGCCCTTGTATGTTACAGAAGGGAGGATGAACCTAGGAAAAGCTCAAGAAAGGCTATCTCTTCCCCAGAAATTAAAATGCAGGGAGTGGGGGAGGTGACTAAAGGTAGTGGCTAGATCCTGGCTGGGGGATGTGGGTGGTGAAGAAGGAGTGCTGGATTGGCCAAAGAAACCTGAGCCCCAAGGATCAGGGCACTGAGTTCAGATTTGAGCCAACACATGTCTAGTACTGAGTTTGCATCTAGAAATGATCTTGCGCTGTGGCAGATGTGCAGTATACCTGGACCTGATGTGGGTGGTAGACAGAAGCAGTCAGGAGGAGAAGGGAGAGGGAAAGCCAGGGTGGGTTAGCTTTGGTGGGAATATCTTCTCATTTATATCCTCAGGTAGGAAAATAGGGGCCCATCAAGACAGAATGTGAACTCCAGTAGGGACTGGGCAAAAACCCTTACTGGCTGTGATTCTGGCCTGGTTGTGCCTTATGATATGGCAGGTTAGAGACATCTGTGACCAGGGGTGGTAATAGGAGTAGGGGTTTTGATAGGGTCTCCAACAAGGACAATCTTTGGGTATTTACAATTGTTCTATCTTAGGAGTTCCTATGGCTTGAAGAATATGTCCCCCAAGTTCATATGTTGGAAACTTAATCCCTAAAGCAACAGTGTTGAGAGGTTGAATCTTTAAGAGGTGGATTAATGCCATTATCTTGGGAGTTCAGGAGTGGGTTTTTTTTTTTTTTTTTTTTTTTTACCGGTAAGGGGACCTTAACCCTTGACTTTTTGTTTCAATCATTTGGAACAGTTTATAGAGAACTGGCATCAGTTCCTCTTTGAAGGTTTGGTAGAACTCAGCAGTGAACCCATCTGGCCCTGGGCTTTTTGTTTATTTGTTTGGCTTTTTGGCAGCTGGTTGGTACAGGGATAGAATACTGGACTTTGGTGTTATCAGCACCATGCTCCAACCAACTGACCTAACTGGCCAGCCCCACGAGTGCGTTCTTGATAAAAGGATGAGGTCGGCCCCCTTATGTCTCTCTCTTGCCAAGTGCTCTCTTGCCATGGGATGACACAGCATGAAGGCCCTCACTAGATGCAGGCCCCTCCACCTTGGGCTTCCCAGCCTCCAGCATTGTAAGAAATAAAACTCTATTCTTTATAAATTACCTAGTCTTGGGTATTCTGTTACAGCAGCAGCAAATGGACTAAGACAGGAGGTGTGAATGGGATTCAGATACTTTCATGTAAGGAGGGCGTGGTGTGTAATAAGGGGTTGGGGTCCTGTCCCCAGAAGGGCAGACTTGGGAAGGGGCTCTGGCAGAGTCTCCCAGGAACTCCTGTCTCTGGGACAGATCTTACCTCGGTCCTGGGCCTGGCACAGCCCCACCTCAGTGATCTCCCGACACCAGGCCTGCAGCTCAGGGTCCCCCCTCACAACATCATCCGTTTGGTAGAACAGGTGGATGATCCCCTCCACGTACCTTCCCAGAGGAGAAGGGAGTTGAGCTCTCTGAGAGTAGCAGGCTCCATCCTCTGACCTCTACTCATTTTTTTCCTGTGACCTCTGCCCACCTGACTCCGACTGTATGTGAGTCAGATCCTGCCAGACTTGCGTTTTGGAATGTTCCCTAGGTCCTTGGGATAGGAGTGTAAAGGACGGACATGTGGGTTATTAGGTCTAGGAATTCTCTATACCTGGTTGCTAGCCATTCTTCCTAACAAAACCCTGATTCTTCCAGACCCCCAGTCTTCTCACCCACAGCCTTCCTCACTATGTTCCCTGCCTGCATCCCAGTCTCTTCCTTTTCAGAGCCCACCCACTGTCTCCTCACTCTTCTTCGTCTTTCCCCAGGACTGAGCCTCTGCTCCTCCTGTCTGAACTTTGTTGTTTTCTCTTTGCTTTTGCCTCATGCTAACCGCAAGCCAGAGCCCCCTGTCATCCCCACCCCTTCCATTTCTCAGCTCCCTCTCTCACCCACCGGGCAATGATCTCCCAGAGCCGTAAAGCATCGTGGGCGTAGAGAGCACTTGGGATTCCCAGCAGGCCCCGGTCAGCCAGGTCATCAGGAGGACAGAGGGAGCGGTAGGTCAGTTGGGCCACTGCTCGACGGAGCAACTGCACATGGCCCCCTCCTCCTGTGCTTACTGCCTGGAACAAGACAGTTGACAGGTCTTGAGGGGTGGAAGCAGGGCTGGAGAATCATGGCGTACTATAGAAGGGTTTCAGAGATGGGGTTTTCAGATTTAAAGTCATGGCTATAAAAGGGATGAAGCTCAAGGGTCAGTACATTCATACAGGTGGGTCTGGGATCCTGAAAGTGGCAGAAGATCATAGACAGTTGATGATTAAGTGACTCTGCACCCCCTTCCCTCCTTACCTTATCAAATACTCCTCCAACTGAGATGAGTTGGGTCCGTGCCCGGGTGTTGATTTCCATGGTGTAGCGGGTGTGGGGGATCAGGAGCTGGGGAGGATGAGATTGGAGGGGATGGTTACTGGAGGCCACGCTTGGGTCCTTCCTGGTAGGGCCTGGCACCCAGCATGCTGGTCTTCTCTCTAGATACCTTCCTCTCTGCCGCTGCCTTAAAAGGCTAATTTCCTGCTTCTCTGATCCCTTACTCCTCCAACTTTCTTGTGAGTGATCTCTGGAGCCACATTGACCAGAATTTCAACCTGCACATTACCCTCACTTTGACACTCGACCAAGTTAGTAACACTGTTATCAGCAATCTCCACATCTATCAACAGGGGGCAGTAATAGGATCTCTTTTCTCAGGGGGCTGTAGTGATGCTTATGCGAGTGATGTATGAAGGGTGCGTAGTACATGTAAAAGTCCTCTAATAGTAGCCGTTAGCATTCTCTTCATTATTTTTACCTTGAGTGTAGTTATCTTTTAAGAATCAGCCACTTTTGATTTTCTTTGTGCTTCCCCTATCATTCCCGTCCTCATAGCTTAAACTAGCCTCTCATTATCAAAGCTGCACCTCATCCTTTGGTTGTTTCACTGTTGGTTTTCTTTGGGGTGTGGTGGGGAGGGTACTTTCAGACAGAATTAGAGGAGCTATATCTAGCCACCTGCTTGAGCAGCAGAGGGACTGTAGTCAAATATGTCCCTACCCCCGATTAGGCACTGTTGGACCCCTCTCTCCTGCTTTTTCTTAGCTATTAGAGAAGGCCACCT